TGTTTTCAAAATGCTTAAAGTTCTAGAAGTATTTTTCAATTATCAGTATCCCAGAAACCTAAATGAAAAAGTCCAAATTTCCAAAAAAAAAAAAACACATTAGACAGTATGCAGTAATCCACTGTATGAAGAAAAGGCTTTTAATAATTCATCGGTGCTAGAACTTCAATCTTGAAAACTCAAACTCAGAACGTTTGAAAGCAAATTCCATCAAGTCCAACAGAAAAAAATAAGGAAACTTTACTAGTGCAGTGTCACGGATTCATATATCATAAGCAAACTGTCTGAAGTTAAGACTATAATACAGCTGAATCATGTCATAAAATACAGGGAACCGTGGGAATAAAACTGCAAAATATTGAAACATTTCATCGATAAAAGTAGAAAACACTCCATATTTCTTAACGTGCATCACCACCAGATTTCTGCATGTTTTTCGATATTTCGTCCCTAAATATTCCTGTATTCAAAAAGAAACTTTTTTCCTCGTTTCTCCATCCTTCCTTATTCTAGTTATAAGTAACATCCTATCCGTTAAAAAAAATTAAAGTTGGTAACGTCGATATTACGATTTTGTTTTTATTCTACGAGACAAAACGTTTGAAAAAAGAACCACATATTATGAACAATACCCTCACCGCAACTGTTTCGAAAAGTCACTTTCATGTGTTTCATCGTCCCAGTTGTCCTCCCAAACGTTCAGTTCCTAAATAATAAGTAAATATCCCAACAAAAAAATTTAGCTTTTTCACTCGAAGCATTTTTGAAAAGATGCGACAATAAAATAACGTAGAAGAACAACTTGAAAGACAAAAATTCAATCCCCAACAAACTTCATCATCATCAGCGTTTTCTTTTGCCTGCCAGTCCTGTAAGGGAAACTCCTCGAACTCATCATCTTCTTCAACACTTTGCACCTCGACTTTTTTAGGCTCCCCCTCGCCCTCTTCCATTTTATTGTTTGACATACCTGAATATCCTGAAAATCTGGCAAAAAAATACAAAAAAGTAATCAGTAAGCGAAAACAGGCAGGAGCGCATGCAACTTTTCATAAATCCAAGTGGAATAATCTCGATAACGTTTGCTAAAAAATTCATAAATGTTAAAATAAGATAACGTATAGGAACAGCACTTGCAAAAACTACGCTATTTTAATTGTATTAAATTGAGATAAACAACGGCAGCCTCCTTCATGAAAGGCAACCTGGCAAACAGTAATCCAAAAAATGAGAAATATTGGATTCACTCCTTCAACAGCAGAAGATACAAAAAAGAGTGTATACCAGTATTCACAACGTGCCTACACATTGTTTATTAAACTGAACTATTGTTATGTATTACACTTCTGGCCTAGAAAGCCCTAAATAGTCAGGATAAGTACACTTTGTGTTACATGACAACGAAAAAAAAAAAGATCCTAAAAACAACACTACGCCAGCTCACAGATCTGTAAAGAACACTCCACGAGTTTATAAAAAACAATACTTTGCTCTCTTTAACTTGGGAGAGCAAAGAAAGACGACAGAAGAAGAACGACACTAGGATCATAATCATCCTCTCAACTCTTTCTCCCCCTCCTGGACCTGCTGAGATTCTGGCAAGGTTCGCTGATTTTCGGTTGCGAAAGTGATCCTAAAGAGAAGAAAGTAAAAAAATGCAACAACCCATGACTGTTAAAACACTGAGAAGCAGCCATAACTTCTTAAGCACTAAAAACTTACAGTGAAGGCTGTTTTGTCTGTGCCCATTTGGGATATAGCTTCTCATGTAATCGCCACACACCATCTACGCTTGCAATATGGTTTTCAAAGACAACGTATTCAAGAACTGGACGAATCTCGCTCTCCGACCCAAGTATCAAATGACCAAAGCGATCGTAGATTGCCAGTTTCTGGAAAGATGCAATAATATATTACTAATGAAAGGTGGCATAAGCTTAAAAGTCATCTACCTGTTTTGTATGCATACGTACTGTAAGCTGTGCGATATCATTGCCAGATTTTAAAGGAACATCAGCACACCGTATAGCAACTACTTTTGAGGGTTCGATCCGTTCAACCAACTCCCATACAACACTTCCATTCTGCACATCAGGCCACATTTTCTAGTGAAAAATTGAAAGATACAGTAAAAAACTTTAAATGAACCAAGTGGTACTTACCATTAATAAAAGACAAAATTTTACACGAATAAGTTACTTGAAAAGCATTTTCAGTTAAATATCTGTGAATAGCACTTTTGTCCCTCGCCAATAAAGCCTTATGCGCTTCTTCATAAATAATGTCAGCGGTCGGACCGAAAGCCTAAATATGTAAAAAATTCAAATAGAAAACTCTTTCCCCCCCCACACGAGATGTTGTTTATCACAATGAAATATAGATTATACTTTAGCGTCAAAATTTTCAAATCCTTCCTTCTTTCGAATACGTGCTGAACCATTTTTATAATTATGCCACCTAAAGAAATAATTTAACACGCAAGATCCCTTGAAAAGAAACTTGACTCAAGACCATAACAACCAAACACCTGCTACAACAACGTGGTAAAATGACACTAGTTAAAATACAACAGACAACCTATTAAGCATGCGCTGTTTCGCTTCGGCTGTTTTATCAGACAATGGCCCTCGCAAAAAATCATCTGGTAAAACATTAGGTTCCAACACATCTCCTAAAACAGCAACTAGCAAAGTTTTTTGCGAAACATTCGGGAACAGGCAACTGAATGAAAAGTAGTTCTACAAGACCTTCAAAAAACACGACAAATTCTTTCAAATGTCTCAGACTAGAAATCAAGATCTTCGTACAACCTGTTTTAAAACTTTCGTGAAAACGCTGTTTGTAAGGATATGTAAAAAAGTGCTGACCAAATGTTTGGAATGTTATTTGATGCTCGCTCCATGCACGTGGTTGCATATGTTTATATGGATTCAAACCTTTTTTTAACAAATAAGTCCTCATTTCCATAGGTGTCATTGCTTCCATTTTCTGTTCCATGCTATCCTCAGGGATATCTATCAGAACCATTTTTCGGCCTCTAGGCTACAGAGGAATGCTACTTTGAATGTCGTATCAGCGGACCAAATAAAGTGGAAAAGCAATAAAGAAGAAGACTAACTTAAAAAATAACCAACAAAGAAAAGAAAGATTAGTGCAATTAAATCGGCAAATTCAATTACCTTCTTTCTAGACCTTTCGTTTATATGAGTATTACGGTTCGCTCTTGCACGCTGAGACCGCTTAATTCCAAGAAATAAGAACATGTCATGAGCTTCATTATGGTGATGAACAGACATGCTCTGAACGTAAAAACACGGGTTGACGGGTAACAATTTGTATGCGCCATTGAGCGGCTGAGCCCAACTGAGAACGTATTTCAAAGCCATTCCAGTTCTAACTGCAATACTAACTATTCACCATTTAAAAAAAAAAAAA